GCTTGGGACATAGGCTCTGTTGTCAGAGATAATGTTCAGAATGAGGGATGAGAGAGTACCTGGGCTCAAAGTGAAATCAACATATGGCTCTCTTGGCAAAGCTTTCCCTCTAGATGTGAGGAGGCCTTCAACAATACCTGCCAGGCCTTTTGTAAGAACAGCAAACTCTCAAATTCAGTATCCTTGCCCTGCAGGATAAATGTGGTTTCTGATGGAAGCTGGCTCCTAAGGAAATAAGCCCATAGGAGGCACATGCTCAGGACAGGTAGAACCACGCATTCACCTGGGCTGACATCTCAGTTCTTATTCCAATTAGGAAGCTGGCAGCCTGTGGCCCAGGCAAGTCTAAGAGTCAGCAAAGGTGAGCCTGCATCATACTTGCAGGGACATTTTCAAGGCAAGTGTCGGAGTCCCTGTGGCTAAAATGCTCCCCTATGGCACACTCACTAAGAAACCACCCAAGGAACCTTAGCAATGCCCATTTCTGACATGGTACAACCTCCAAAATAGCCTTTCACCCAGAGAGTACTACAAAAGCAATGCTACTTCCAGTGATTTGATCTGTTTCTCTTAAAAAGACCATAGCCTGTGACTTCCTTAAAACATTCTCTTTTAGGGGCTGGGAAGGTGGCTCAGTGGTAGAGCGCTTGCCTTGCATGCTCAAGGCCCTGGGTTCGATTCCTCAGCACCACATAAGAAAAAAGCCGGAAGTGGCGCTGTAGCTCAAGTGGTAGAGCACTAGCCTTGAGCTGAAAAGCTGAGGGACAGTGCCCAGGCCCAGAGTTCAGGATCCACAACCGGACCCAAAAAAAAAAAAAAAAAAAACATTCTCTTTTAGAAGTACTATCTTTCAAAAAAAAAACCTATTCTAATTTTTTTCTTTTCCTAATAACAGTGAGAAAGAAGTTGTTTCTGTTATTTCTGAGAATCCACATTTCCTATTATCTTTCAGTAACAATGACAGAGCATGCACCTTGCTTCATTAGAGCCTCTGAAGATTTAATCTTTCCATTCTGAGGTTTAATTTTACTATGAAGGCTCAAAATAAAACAAAACATCCACTGGATCTAGATTCTTTTCTCATACATAGCTTATATAATTGCTCTGAAGTATGCACCAAGAAATCAATGGGTGGTCCCCTAGAATATCTTGAGGAAAAGCCCCCTCGAGAGAGAGAAACAGACAGAGACAGAGAGGCAGAGAAAGACAGAGACAGAGGTGAGAGAGAAAGGGAAAGGAAAAGGGAGAGGGCGGGATCTGTTAAATGCTCATGAAAAAGACCACCAGGAATTTCAAAGGGCTTGGTGGTAACCACAGAAATCATGCCAACCTCATCAGCATGCTTGGGTAATGTGTGCTGAGTCAAGAGACCTGCTGTGGAAGAAATGCAGTTTGCTTCTGTCTGCCCTAATCACCACAGACTGTCCTCTTTTCTGGGTGAATGACTGTAACCCCATCTACTAGCAAGGTAAGATGACATCTGCTAAAACGGGAGGTAAAATGTTTCAGACTCTGCCGTTCATATAGTGTGTGCATGTTAATGATTCTAATCATCTTTACACTGTCAGCTCAGTAAATGGCAGGTCCATCCCCAGCCACATTGTCACCAAGTCACCAATGTTTTAGGTGCAAGCAATAAAGACTGGCATAAAAGCCAGTGCAAAGCTGCTTGGCTAGCTTTATAGGCCAGTGGGGGATGGGAAAGGATGCTACACTGTGAATTTTCTAAAACTGAAATGTCACATTACACAATCACTTCTCAGCTGCAGGCATTACTTTAGCTGACAGGTATGACCATTGTTTCCCTAAAATTGGGTTTTCTACTTCTCAGAGGCAAGGTTAAAAGAGCTGGTAACTGCTTGTCTAGGGTTCCAGAGATGCCCATGGGGCCCTAAAGAGCATATATGCCCAACAAGCAAGCCAGCACCGACAACTTCACTCTCCCTTGGAAATGCTCCTCCTAATACCTTATGTAACCTAGTACTTCCACAGACTCTATCTCGCCTGAATGAATTTAGTGCCCTGGTAAAATAAGTCTCAGGAACTAAAAGGCTGAGAGCAGCTACCAAAGAAATTATTACATTTTTCCCAATTGTTAGTCTAGGCAGACCTGATGATGCATATGTGGAACCCAAACACTCGGGAGGCAGTGTGGGAGGACTGAAATTTGAGGCTACCCTGGATCACACAGCAGGATAGTATCTCAGATTAAAAAAAGGTCTAGATTTTATCCTAGCCTTCAATACTACACTGCATTTCACTATAAAAATATGAGGGTGCTGGAGGTATGCCTCAAGTGATAGAGCACTTGCCTAGCAAACACAAGACCCAGAGTTCAAATCTCAACATCATCAAAAATTAGTAACTATGAGAGGTAATACCTATGTTAATTACATCTACTTAGTCCTTATAGTCATTAGCTACAAAGTATATACATGGGCATTTCCTGGAATCTGGGGGATTGGTTTCAGGATCTCCTGTGGATACCAAAATTCATCAATACTTAAGTCCCTTATGTAAAATACTGTAATGTTTGTGTATGACCTAAGCACATCTTCCTGTATATGTGAAATTATCTCTAGATTACTTACTGTCAAACACATGACTAGTTTTCTTACTCCATTTTTTTTTTTTTGGTCTGGTTGTGGGGCCTGAACTCTGGGCCTGGGCGCTGTCCCTCATCTCTTCAGCTCAAGGCTAGCGCTCTACCACTTGGGCCACAGTGTCACTTCCAGCTTTTTTCTTTTTGCTTATGTGGTGCTGAGGAATCGAACCCAGGGCCTCAGGCATGCAAGGCAAGTGCTCTACCACTGAGCCAACTTCCCAGCCCATACTCCATTTTTTAGAGATAACGATTTTTAAAAGTATGTACATGTTCAGTACAGATGAAAAATCTAAAAAAACTCTTTTTGATTTGTGTTTGGTTAAATCCATGGACATGGACCCTGTGGATGTAGAAGGCTAACTGCACTTGAAAACATTAGGTTGTACATGATAAATACATGCAATTTTGTCTTTCCATTAAAAAACAAGCACATCACGTTGCCTCGATCAGCAGCAAATACCTAGTAGGATAGCTTGCTTACTAAGACTCTTTGGCCAAAGGGAAGAAATCGCCATGAAGGTTTGGGTGTGTCAAGGCTTTAGAACATAACTAGCTTTTACCAACCTTACAAGATCAGCAAGAAGGACACCATAGGCAGAATCGATGACCCCTTAGCTCCACTACTCAGGCCCATCCACACTGAGTAGCCTTTTAGAAAGGTCTGGCAGGCTTCCATACTCTTGACTGTATGACTGTGAGCTCACAATGGCAACTGTGGCATGAGCCACCAGTGCCCATTTCAACCACCACGATGACAACCCCCAAAGATTCAATAATACTGAACCAATGACTGAATGAAAATCAAACAGAAATGTAAGACAGTAGATCTGGAAAACATATGAGAGTAGCAGGAAGACAAGGGCATTCTTTACTCGCTTGTTCAGACAAATGTGTGAGTATATTCTTTTTTTTTTTTTTTATTGTAAAGCTACTATACAGAGGGTTACAGTTACATGAGTGAGGTTATGAGTACACTTCCTCTTGAACATTGTTACCCCCTCCATTGTTTTCCCCCTACCATCCCCTCCCTCCCTCCCTTCCCCGAGGTTCTTTTTTTTTTTTTTTGATTGTGATTAAATGATTACATAATTTCAAAGTCACAAGTTCATTCTAACTTCCCTGGAGCAAATTGTCTACCACAGTCTGTAATATATAACAGTGTTCACATGTTATATACCATATTTGTGATCAGCAGCATGAGGATATTTAGTAGTGGTTCAACCAGATGAGCGGGAGTTCTTTGTTTCTTAAGTGTGAGTATATTCTTAATTGCTGTTCATCGATGTTCTTAGTTGCATTTGGATTCCCAGGGAAGCCACAGTAAAATAACAAAACAAAAAAAAAAACCCACTGGAGTCAGCCTTCTAGTATTACTTCAAAATTGTGGTTGGAACCTTTGCCCAGTAACATACATGGGGAATATATCAACTGGCAGATACTGTGCTAAGGAATTCAGGTGAACCATCTCAGTCAATCTTCTCAATTGTTCAACATAATTCAGACACACAACCTTGGCCATAATACAACTAAGTGACAGAGGAAGGATTTGAATTCACTTCCATCTGTTGTTACAACCTTGAGTTAGAACCACTACACTCATTCCTCTGTCTTTTTATTTCCAAGCATTTCTTATCCAATAACTACTAAGTGTTTAGGATCCATTTTTCTCAATAACTAATTCATTGATAACTGACAACCTACTGTTGGACTATTATCATTAGTAAAAATGTTTCACCTGATTTTTCATGGTGGAAATTTCCTTATTCAATGCTCAATTCTTCTTGGTTGTGTGACTTTATTTCCCTCCTATTCACCAAATGGAACACCCAGGGCTCTCAGTTTATTTGAAATGTGTTAGATACTATAATAAGTGCCTTACACACACTATCTTTTTTGGGGGGGAGGGGTTGTCATGGGGCTTGAACTCAGAGCCTGGCGCTGTCCCTAAGCTCTTTTGCTCAAGGATAGCACTCTACCACTTTTAGCCACAGCATACTTTCTGGTTTTCTGGTGGTTAACTGGAGATAAGAGTCTCACAGACATGCCTGCCCAGGCTGGCTTTGAATCATTATCCTCGCATCTCAGCCTCCTGAGTAGCTAGGATTACAGGCATGAGCTACTAGTGCCCAGCACATTATCTTGTTTATATCATGCATTATCTTTTTTATACATGCAACCTTAGAATAAGGATTACTCTCACCAGCTGACAGAGGAGTTCTACGAAGGGCTTGTTACAGGATGTTGGCAGCCAACAGCTCAGAACTTAGGCCTGTCATACATTCAGTGCTGTTTAGCATTATATCGAACTTCCCTCATCCCCCATCCCAAGTTCCACTGTGGGAGTCATAATTCTGATAGCATACAAGGCATGAGACCAAAAACCATGAAAACTTACACTCCCTTCCTTGTCAAAGTCCGGTGGAAGCAACTTCACGAAGTTATCAGGAAACACTCCTCTTCTACCATTGAGCTCTCCTTCCCACCAGCCTGCATCAATGCAGTCCTAGAAATAGGAAATTAGAGTGTAAGAAATGGGGGCAAACACTCAGAGAGATCTGATATCCCTTTATGACATAACAGAAGCCTTTTCCTTGAGGTGGACATCAATATGGCAGTAGTTACTACGGCAGCATAGACTCCTAAATCAGAGGGAAGAACAAATGCTTAAAAGTGCCAGAGCTGTCCACTGAGACTCCAAACCCAATGCGGCCTTTAGATGCTTCAAACCAATAAAGTCTTCTTTTTTTATTTCCTTTAAGATGAGAGGATATGTGTTGTTTGTTTTTTAGTTTTACTGAAATAAAAGTATTTCATTAACAGGGAAAGTTACATACACAAATGTCCTCTGGTTAGCCTGTCATAAAGCTTGTCAAAATTAAAAATTGCAACAGTCAAGCAAGCAAAAGAAAAATCACACTTTATGTAAGCTTGTTAACACATGGCTCTCATTTTGATGTGGATGGGGCATAATTGTCATGATGAAAGGCCCTTCCTCCACCTTATAGAAATTAATGTTTGCTTACTAAATGAAGAAACCTAGCTATTCCTCCAGATAAAATCTGCTTGCCCTTTGAATAACTTTTAGTGTTTGTTCAGTCATCAAATGTCCCTTGAACACTTATTTTGTGCTGGGCACTGAGCCAGCTGCTAGGAAGAAGGGAATGAGCAAGATTAGCAAGAGCCAAGCCTTCTCCAAGGTTCCATCCTGACCTTAATGACTCTGCGGGGTTTCCTTAGGCACTCAACCTCAGGCCACAAAACTATTCCTAGTTTCTTTCCTTTCCAATTGATCATTAGTCCAATTCATTCTAATCTATCTCCCATCTGTCACTCAACCCAGAACTCACTTGCCAACTGTAAAATTCATCCCCTGAGTATCTCACATCTCTTCCTTCCTGATATATGGACAATATACACACCACTGTAAAGTATAGCATCTTTTGAGTTAAAACATAATACTCAAGATTTGTGTCCAAGAAATTCTGGCTGAAGCCCAAAGTGAATGAAAACTTTCCAAAAATGGCTGGTAACACAGAGCTCTTTTAAAGCTACAATTGAGACAAGAGGATCACAAAGAAAAAGAAGGTATGTTCAGGGTCTGCGGAGAGACTCTCTTATCATCTGCAGTACTCATCAAGCCAAGAAAGAAGCTAGAAGGGTTCAAGCATCAGATGTAGATCCCAAGAGGGCCATGGCTTATATAATTCAGTTGTGCCTTTCTTGACCAGACATTTCTGAAAAGTGAATTATATATCTGATTTTTTCATTATTATGCCCACTCAGCCCTTTGTACAATGCACCATACAATACATATCCATGGAATCAATGAAGACTCTTTCTAACCCTGAGATCTGTAATCTCCTGCAGTGTAAAACCTGAGTAACTGTAGAACAAGATGGCCTCTATCTGAACCCATGAGGATTCTACACAAGGTTTACCTCAAGTGAGACACAAATATTACTACACCCCCATGGGAGTATCTGTTGCAAAGATAAATTAACCCTTTAGAAAAGAGTGCAGATTTTAGAGATTAATCTTTAGTCACAGATTTAGTGTTGTTCCAACACTAAAAAATAAATACAAGTTCAGAATTACCCAAAATAAAACAGGGCTTCAAAAGACTTACAACATGAGAGAATGTTCATCTTTCTGGGGAAAGAAATGACAAGAAGTACAGGTAAACAGTATGGCCCTTCCTGGTACATCACCACTAAGGGATCTAACATCAATCCCTGAAGAATAATTCATAGAGAGGTTGTGGTGGCAGGATTTGGTAGCTTCTAAGGTTTACATAAAGATCATCAATGATCCTAGACAAAGTTACAAAGGAGGCAGGGAGTCAAATTTCTTTGCCATCAATCCTTAGAAATCCTTTTGAAGCTGTGTGCTGATAGCTCATTGCCTCTAATCCTAGCTACTCAAGAGGTTGAAATCTTAGGATCAAGGTTTGAAGCCAGCCAGGGCAAGAAAGTCCATGAGACTCCTACTTCCAATTAATTACCAAAAAGCTGTAAATGGAGCTATGACTCAGTGCTAGAACACTAGCCTTGAGCAAAAAAGCTCACACACAATGCCCAAGCCCTGAGTTCAAGCTTCCCCCACACACTAGTCTTTCAATCCAGAAGGTTCTGCTGCCAAGGAGATTCCTGGCATATACTTTTCTTCTTAATTTTTCTTCTTCCTTATTTCAAAACCCAGCTTAGAACTTGCCTTTAGGAAAGTGGCCATGGCAAATGCCTGATCTGATCTCTAACACACAATAACTGTGTTAATTCCTACTTCACCATATTTATCCAACAAACATCCACTAAATGCAAAAATATATTTAATTTCTGTAGATACTTAATATTAGATTGCAGTGTCATGATCCCTGACCTTGAGAGCTTAGAGTTGTATGTAAAAGATAAGATACAATATCCTGCAGGGTACTTTGGGGTAACAGATATCAACCAAGTCCTCTAGTTCCAAAATAAAAGGGAACCTATAATGTGACTATAAATCTACACATAAACACACTAGGTGGTAAGCAAAAAGTTACAAGTGAACTAACTCAAGTGTAGTAGACTCTATGGGAAATACAAATCGTGTAATTCTTGAAAAAGACTAAGTCAAAGGCCAACAAACTGAGTATCAGGAAATGGGTACTTGCAGGGGCCAAGGGGAGAGGGGTGGGAGGGGAGAAGGGGGAGAATGCAGGCAAGATTTCAGTGTATATACCACAAAATTGGGAAATATAAGGGAAGGGGTGGGTTGAAGAGGAGAAAAGATACTAAAGTGATGACACAGATCAAGATGCATTGTACACATAAGCTGCTTTGGCAAAGGGCCAATAAATTAAATATATAACCTAAAATTAAGATAAGTAAGGAAAAGGGTGGGCTGAGAGGTATGGGTGAAAATGTTGAAAGGAGTAACATTGATCAAGACGTACTATATTCATAAACAGTTATGGTGAATGGCAACTCCTTTGTATGGTGTAAAGATAATAAAATATTTTTTAAAAAATAAGAGGAAACCATTAACAACTTTTCAAACAATCTTAAATCTTTACTTGTTTGAATAGTTTGCTTATGTAAAGATCGGACTTTTCTACACATTCACTTTTGGATCATAAAATGCACATGAATATTTAATACTACAGTTCTTTCAGACTTTCTAAATGGTGCAAAACTATGTTTGACTTCAACCTGTTGCAAATAATAACCCAACAACGCCTTTGCTCCATGTATTAGAGATTAAGGTGAATTTTAATAGGCAAAGGCCTATCCAGAATCACTTGAAAATCTATGCATAACTATATAGGAAAACTATTGCATAATAATGACTGATTTTTCATACCTCTCTTTGGTAATGATTGGCTTGGATGGGTCATCTATACTCCGCTCCTTAAGGAAAACACCCAACAACGCTAATTATCATCCAATGTGAAGCAGAAGAGGGAAAGCACAAAGGGAGAATAAAATATGTCAAACTGTCCTGATTGGATAAGAATAAACACAAAAGGCCCATAGATGATGTAAGCAAGCACAGAGGAAAAAGAAAACTACCAGTGGATGGGGATAGTAAGAGGAGCTAAAGAGCAAAGCTGACGCTGGACAGAAACCAGCCTTGAGGTCATCATGCTTGGAAAGGGACGGAGATTGAGAGAGAACCATTTCCCCTAGCAACAGAAGCTAATTTAAGAGAAATGGGAATAATCTTGGCAGCAAAATGAGAACTGGAAGTAAGTCCTCTTCAATAAACTAGACAAAAGAACTAGAATTTTGATGGTAACAACAGAGAGAATTATTTGTATGACTGTGCTTCAAGAAGTGTAAAATGGCAGCAAATTCCACTTATTTTTTGAGGATCAAAAATGTACAGAATAGGAGAGGAATCAGGAGAAAAAAAATCATCATATCCTCACAGGGCTCCCAAGCTCAGGGCCTTGTAGAAGAAGCAGATGCAGTGAATCAAAATGGAGCAGAACCACTGTCAGGAGAAGCCCTGCAAGGAGAGAATAAGGGAAGCAGTGAAGCAGAAGGGGAGGCGAGCAGGAGAGGAAAAAAGGGAAAGGTAGAATCAATGAGAGTGAAGGAAGGGATGTGGGGAGAGTGGGAAGCTTGGTCCCAGAAAAGAACATTTCACGAAGTAAAGCTTAAGCCGGGTCCTGGTGGCTCACAACTGTAATCCTAGCTACTCAGGAGTTTGAGATCTAAGGATCAAAGTTCAAAGCCAATCTGGGCAGAAAAGGCCTTGAGACTCTCAGTTCCATCTAATCAGCAAAAAGCTGCAAGTGCAGCTGAGAAGGTAGCTCAGTGGTAGAGTGCTTGCTCCTCATGCATGAGGCCCTGAGTTCGATTCCTCAGTACCACATAAACAGAAAAAGCCGGGAATGGTACTGTGGCTCAAGTGGTAGAGTGTTTGCCTTGAGCTGAAGAGCTGAGGGACAGTGCCCAGGGCCAGAGTTCAAGCCCCATGACCAACAAAAAAAAAAGCTGGAAGTGGAAATATAGCTAAAGCGGTATAACACCAGTCTTGAACAAAAAAGCCAGGTAAGAGAGTGAAGCTCTGAATTCAAGCCCCAAGGCCAGCATGAAAGGGAAGGGGAAGGGGAAGGAGTGGAAGTGGAAGGAAGAGAAAGGAAAGGAGGAAGAAAAGGAAGGGGAAGGAAAAGGAAAGAGAGGGGAAGGGAGGAAGGAGAGGAGAAGAGGATAGGAGGGAAAGAAAGGAGATGGGAGGGGAAGGAGAAATGGAAAGGGAAGGAAAGGATACGAGGGGAAGAGAAGAGGAAGGGAAAGGGAAGTAAAGGAGGAAGGGAAAGCAGAAGGGGATGGGAAGGTAAAAGAAGTAAAGGAAAGGGGAAGAAGGAGGGGAACGGAAGAGGAAAGGGAATAGGAAGGGGAAGAAACGGAAAGGGGAAAGGGAAGGGGGAGTGGAATGGGGATGGGAAGAGGAAGGAAAGGAAGGAGAAAGGAAAGGGGAACAGGATGTGAAAGTGGAAGGGAAAAGGAAAGAGGAAGA